AAATTAATATGAATGTACTAAATTTCAAAAAACGATTTACAAAGTTTAAACCGGACTAAAGTTTGATTTTTAGGGGTAATGTTCAATTAGGTAAGAGTTAATTGTTATTTATTGAATTTTTAAGGTCAGCTTTCATTTACAGAAGTTGTTATTGCATTAATGGGAATATTTTGGGGGTTTTGTTTCATTGTAAGTTACGTTCACTTGAAGATGGATTAAAAATTTGAACTCGAAATACTGTGGATGTTGTTAACAAATTAGAAACAAATATATTTAAAATACATATGTTTTAAAGATTTTGATCACACTAGATGTAATTTTCATTGATTATTTAAAAAGAATGGAATCTTTCGTTTGAAGAAAAAAAAATTATTTCTTTACAGTAGCATGAAGTGTTCCTGACACCTCAATAACTATGTACACTCCAATAAACATTTGTTGCGGTATTGTCTGTTTTTTTTGTCAACGTCAATAAAGATATTGGCGTTAATAAAACGGAAGTAGCAAACAAGAACGACATTCAAATTTTAATATGTGGCAGGAAATCCGAATGCACAACCCTGGGAGTCATGGACATCCGCTTACTAAAGCGAAAGTGGAAACGCAGTGACTATCTACCTACTACGTTATGAAATTCAATTATTATGAATGCAAGAACTTAATAATACATTTCTAAAGCGCATTGCAAATCTCTATAGAGCGAAAGCGATTGAGATCTCACAGTAGTGGCCAGGTGCAGCTGTTTAGGTATTCATGGAGCATTTGAATTGATCAAGCATTGCAATTAGCGCGAATTGCCGTTTGCCGTTAATTGTCTTTATGCTAGGACAGAGGGTTCATAAAACGTTTGTAAATAGTGACGATTATGATGCATTGTATTACTGAATTATATATTCAGGTAAAATATCTCTTGATGAAACTCAATTAAAGACGAGAATTCAAATAACATCTTATGAACGAGACGTTGCACACACGGTATTTATGCTAGTTCCTGAAACTAAGATCTTCCTTTTTTCGAAATATCTCCAATGCTGCTAAATAATTCATTATTAATAAAGTTGGAGAGAAATTATGAAACTTTCTCACTCCTTCTGCCATATGTTTCATACAGTTTTTGTACGTGCAAAAATGTTATTATACAATACAGTGAGATTATTTATTTATGCCTATGATAATATTGCTTCACAAGCGACTAAAAAACTTATATTTTTCTCAACCAGAATAAATATTATGATTAACTTCAATGAGATAAAGTCAAATTTAACAGTATGATTATTATTGTTATGAAATTGTTTTTTTGTGTTTATAAAATCGTTAATAAAGGACATAAAAAGTATTAAAGTTCTTCATAACACGAAGTAGTAAGTTCACCGTAGTCACTCAATTATAGTTTTTTTTTGTTCTTTGTTTTTGACTTACTGAATCAGTAACATTTTATTTTTTTGTGAAATAAAGAAGCGCATCTTAGCAAAGTAAGAAGTATAGTATGTTATTGAAGTATAGTATACTCCAGTAGTTAGCAAGGTCAGCTTGATTGCATCTTTTGGCAATTTTCCAGTATCGTTTTTGAAAAAGGTACTTTACGTCATTTATATTGACATTTAAATCACCGAGTGTAGCATATGAATTTATTTTATTTTATTTGTGAGTAAAACTCATTTTGTTTAAATGTTGTTTACGTGAGATTAGTTTCTTCTTCCAACGCAAGAAACGCCCACGGCTGTAGTAACAAAAAAATCGCATGCTTATATAAAAAGCTATTTTTACAAATCATTAACTATTAAGAAGCCTCCTTATCCTTCTGTACTAAATTAAATAGACAAAAAAATTTGAAATTAGTTCTTTCTAACATTCTCTGAACATAAGAGGTTATTCTTAACTCGTATTTTGGGCATATATTGAATTGAAAAAGACGGCTATTTAGAGCAAACATGTGTCACTACATTGACAGAAGTTAATTTCAGCTGAAGAATCTCTACCACAACCAAAGAATACGAGAATCGCGTGGATTTATTTTTCCTGCAATTAAAACAAGACTTTTATTTCATTCATTCGTCTCGAAACTGCTGAGTCATGGAACAAAAAGAAGAAGGTATCCCGGAGCCTGCAGAGTGACTTAACACATCGCGGAGCCACGTGCGTTGCAGGTGTGCGTAGAGTCACGAGCTGAAGCAGTGGCCGAGGTCACCAAAACATGACGCCCGTGTTCGTAATTTAAGAATACACTCGACTGCCATTAAATGTCGATTTTGTAGGAGTGAATTATTGCGTGTTTGGATGAGTAAACGGTTGAAAGTAACAAGTACGTGACACGTTCGCGCCCCTTACGACGTGGGAAATTCCCAAAGATGAATTTTTAAAAATTCTATAAAACACAGAGCGTTTAGGGAACTGGGGAAACCCCGAATCCAAAGAAATCATACAAACCGTAATGCTCAAAATTATTATTCCAGACAGACTAATGGAAATTCCAAGAACGTTACGGAACAGCACCAAAATATTACATGACAACCATTCCTATTTCATGAAGGAGGGTCATTCAGTTTTGCGTAATGCTCATTTCATACACTAAATTTATTTTTCAAATGTGCGGAACTTACGGTGTGTTTTATTTACTTTTAATTATATCGGGGTAACGCCACGGTTTGTTGGCCAATAATTCTTTGAATAAAGACTACGATGAATTAATTATTCTTAAAGTAGTTTTAGAAGATTTTAAAATTGTTTTATCAATGTTTTTTAAACGAAAATTGTTATATTTAGAAACCTTGGACATTGGCTGCTCGTAGCAAAAAACTGCATGTATAAAACTATATTTTCTGTGAGAATTGCAATGTTTGTATAAGAAAATGAATTTGAAATAAAACGCGCTTAAATCATGTCTTATATACAAAGTTCACGTAAGTTCACTAACCAAAATCATGCGCGACGTTTTTAAAATAATTAATTTTGAGCAAATTATATTTTTGTTTCATTATTTAACACTTAACTGATACACAAGAGACAGGTACCACGTTTGGAGTACCACCTTAAGAGCGTTTACTCGTTTAAATTAGCAGGCCAATTGTTTTTACAAGGAGGAATATGAAAGGCCAATTGTTTACTCGTATTTTCCCCCGTCTATAAAATCTACTTGTTCAGACCGGAGCAATAGACCCTGCTGTAATACAGCGGCAGTTGTCTCAGGGAATTTTGAGTTTCTACGTGTGGCACCTGCTTGACGAGCCGAAATCTGGCTTACAGGTGTTGACCTGGCGTGTTGGTGTTCACGAAACACGGTGACCGTTACATTCCGGTTTTATTGTCGTGTCAATATAAGCATAAACCAAAATGAAAGGTGTGATACATTTTTGCTCTCAACTCATTTGTTCATAAGATGTTTTATCAAGAATTTCTTGTGGGTCTTTCGCACATTCATATTTCCCAATCTGCAGTTTTTCATCTGCAGTTTTTCATTTATACACTAAACGCGAGTTTCTCCGAATGTTATTTTCTAATCTCCACTCTTTTAACAGATTCTACTTTTCTAGTATTATTTCTTAATTTACCTTCCATATCCTATGGGTGCATTTATCTTTGCGAATAGACTACGTACACTTTCGTTCGCAAGAATTTATTTTCTATTTTTTTCAAGTAACAAAAAATATAATTTTATAAGCGAAATGTAAGCACTCCTATTACAGCTCATAGGTCAATTATAGTTACTATACTACATTACTCTATTAGAATTACTATAAATATTCCGACACTGTTTCTTGTATTTTTCTTCACACACTTACTACCTCAAAGCTCAAATTATTACAATTCTGCCAGTCATCGTGGAAAATATATAAGGAAAAGATGAGTCTGTTTATCAATAAATAAATTAAACATCGTGACAGCAGTTCGTTCCAATGAAAAAAGGTGCCGATGGAGTGGAAATCCCTACTATATGAAGGATGGTCAAGGAAGATAAAAGCTTTCAATTGCACAATAAGGAAAGGTATTAGTTGCTTGTTATGAAAAAGTTATTTTGCCGAACAAGGACAGTATATCAAAAATCATTGGTTGCAAGAAATGATAATAGTTTCATTGACTTGAAATTCATATTGAGAGGTAAAGTGTCCAAGCGTTATGCAGAGTTCTTGCTCTAAAGTATTTTGAGAATAGCCTGTCAAATGCAGTCTATCAAATAACTCACGTTTTCTCGCATATACCGGTATACACGTGATATTTCGAATACTTGAAAGCGTTCATGGGCAGTACATATTAATATATTAAACTTTAGATAACACACTGTATAAAATACATGTGTTACGTCGACTTCTCCTGAATTTCAGAATACGTTTAACTGTGAAACATTTATTATCAAATCATACAACAGTTATTCTGGTTAAAATATACGTTTAAGAGAAGGTTAGGTTAATTAAAGGTAGGTCGGATTATATTATGGATACTAAAGCCATAGAAAATGCATTTCAACGTCATATGTCAATTTCAACTAACGTTATGCGTCAATATCACTGAGTGGAGGAAGGATAATTCATGTGTTTAGGAGATATAGATTTCGAAGGTGTGTACACCGGGAAAATTTTAGGTTTTGAATCTCACTGTTATTCTTCAGAGGAACAGGTTCAAGGTTCGGTGTGCCCAAAGCCACGGATTAGCCGACCGGGCCGGGCGGGCCGCGCCGAGCTGGGCGGAGCAAGGCAGAGCATGGCGGGGCGGGCGGGGCGGGCGGGGCGGGGCGGGCGGGGAGGGGCGGGCGGGGAGGGGCGGGGGCGGGGAGGCAGGGCGGGGCAGGCGGGGCGGGCGGGCGGTGGAGCGAGCGGTGACAGGTTGGAGTGAGGTGAGGAGGGCGGTTTCGGCGCCTAGGAGCAGAGCAGAGTGGAGCGGGTGGGGTGGGGCGAGCGGGGCGGGGTGGTGTAGGGCGTGCGTGAGGAAAAGAGCTGGACAGGGCGGGGCTGGGCGGAACGGGGCATGCGGAGCGTGGGCGGGGCGGGGCGGCGAGGTCCACTGACCTGGCTGGACGCGGCCGCAGGGGTCCGCCAGGTCGCACTGCGCGCGCAGGAGCGTCCAGGAGGCTCATGAAGACGAGGAAGCGCACCGCCGCACGTGGACTCGAGCGAGGCCCGGCCATGGCGCGGGCGCGCGGGCACTGCGCGCAAGGGCCTGCGGCACACAAACAGGCGGAGGGCGGACGATAGCCACACCGCACTTGTACACATCGCTCACTCTGTGTTAGCACACAGTATTGGCGCACAGTATTGACATTTGCCCACCACTATTTTATCAAAAGTATCCGAAATCGTTCAAAATAGTGTTACGGTATGGTCGTGTTTTCAGGGAGGGGGCTTGCACACCTTGTTTTGTGTGGCACTATGACGACACAGGCCTACGTTGATGTTTTAAACACTTCTGGCTTCCAGTGTTGAAGAGCAATTCGGAGATGGTGATTGCATCTTTTGAAACAATCGAGCACCTGTACATACTGCACGGCCTGTGGCGGATGTGTTACACGACAATAGCAGCCTGTAATGGAGTAGCCTTCACAGTTCTAACTTGAATCCTATCGAACACCTTTGGGATGTTTTGGAACGCCGACTTCGTGCCAAACCGCACCGACCTACATTGATACCTCCCTCAGTGCCAACCCCCGCGAGAATGGACTGACTTCCCCAAAACCTTCCAAAAACATGATCAAAAGTAGACTTGCAAGAGTGGAAGCTGTCATCAAGGCTATGGGTGGCCAAACACCCTATTGAATTCGAGCATTACGATGGTGGACGTCATGAGCTTAGTAAGTCATTTTCGGCACGTGATACGTTGATCGCACAGTGTA